TGTCAATAGGTTCGGCTTTTTTTTAAGGATTAGTCTAGATCTATTTCCATATTTATTTTATCTCTATCCATGACACCTAATACTAATTAGTAAAGATCTAAGGTTCACTTTAATTTAATGTCTGGTGGAAAAAGGGATACCACAAAAAGCGAAACGGGCGCCTCTCCCATTATTGTCTGGGTTCAATTCGAGGAACAGCGGCGAAACAGCCCCAAGCAGAATCAACAACCAGGGGAAATACAAGAAGTGTGACACAGTTTGTGCCTAGGCAGTTTGAGGTATTTAAAAAAAATAGAGAATGCAGGCCAAAGGGAAACCTATAAGGCCCTGCGAAGGAGCATTTACCTATAGAAGGAAGTAATTAACTGTTCTCTCAAATCACACGAGACTAGTAAAAAAAAAACAGGAAACAAAATACTGGTTCAAATGTAGTAATATCAGTTTTCATAACAAACAAGAATGTAAACAAAGAAACTATACCGTAAATAAAAATAAACAAAAACAAGTATTATAAAATTGTGCACTGGGAAGACCGCAAGACGTTATTCGAGAAGACAAGGGGGTTAGGCTGGTTTTCAGACCAAATTACCATAATCTGACTTGACTTGACAAATGAGGAGTAGTTGTAGGAATTGTTTAAGCCATGTACGTATTCCATGCGCCAAAAACGAGCACCTTTTTACTTATTAAAACGTTCGTTTGAATATTTAGATGTTTAGCCACCTGCAAACATTTAAAAAGAGAATAAATATATTTAGTTTCATTAGGACTACTGTAGGCCTATTATTTGCTATAGTTATGTTATTATTAAGTTATTATTGTTTTGTTGCTACTTCTAATTGCATCTGTTGTTTTCGCTGGTGGAGGTTGGCAGTGTTCTTGTTCTTGTATTTGTGTTTTTAAGTAGCTTCATAAATTAACTTCTGCTGCGTAGGCCTATTTATAATATATGGAAGTAGAATCACATCTTACAAACTATGCGCATTGTTGGCATAGGGCATACAGTTTATTTCACAAACGTACTCAACAAAAGGGTTTAATTTATGATTGACGTTATGAAATCATATTTTAGCCAAGATTGGCGGGGAAGTGAATTCGACAAATTTAACAATAACAAATGTGACTGGAGTGGATGAAGCCAAATAGAATACAAGGGCAATGAACCTCACTAACGAACTACCTTCTGGAATACGGTTAACGGTGACTCAGAATAGACCTCTCGTTACGAAAACTTCCTTGGGATTCACTTTCTCTAATAAATTTTCTGAAATATATTAAAATCTAATCAATGGACATTTTATGCTAAGCCCCGCCCCTTAGATATCGTTGCTAAGGTCTTACGATACGGTAGCTTACACGTACGTGAACGATTGGATTTGGATTGGATTGGATTTATTCGGTGTAAACACCAAGGATAGCCCACGAAAGTCTAGAAGAAGACTTATTTCCAGTGGGGTCTTTCCAGTGGCGTCGAGAGCCAGTAAGGGCCCCGGGGCAACACCTCACATGCCCCCCCCCCTTCACTTGGGACCCCCACTCGGCCGCTCCCCAAATTAAGTCTCCTCCTAAATCTGACAACAAAAGTTTTCATCCTGGCTTGGGCTCGGGCCATATGGAGATTTTGTTCTTACCCTGAAAATTGTTCATCTTGGTCCAGGCCCCCAGTAGACCCGGGCCCCAGGGCAGCGACCCCCCTCCCCCACCCCCAACCTCTCGAT